CAGTGGAAGGTGTCCCTGCCAGGGCAGGGTGGCACTGGGTGGGCTTTGAACTCACTTCCAACTCAAACCACTCTTGGGTTCTGTGATAAACAAAATATCTTGTTGTAGAGTGGAGAATGAAAGCACAGGCTAGGAGTGCTCGAATATCAGACTAGAGCTTCTATTTTCACAATTCTCAGTGTGATATTCAGGGACCTAAAAAACTTAATAAATTTCATAAACAAGCTTCAATCTTAAAAAAATAAAAAATGCCGAACCAGAAAGCTTCACCATTTTACCTTTTTGCCTGTTTGCTATTGAGAGAGATGCTACTCTCTTTGGGTTTTACACCCACAAAGGCCCCCAGGCTCATAGAATCTGCCTTGTCTGGAGCCAGGACAGAGCCTGGGGACACGAGGCAGGCCCAGCCAGCCCAGGGGCTCGCAGCACAGCCACTGCACTGCTCTGCAGCAGCACCAGGGAGGCTGCTCTGACACTGCCAGGCAGGGGGCTGTGCCTTAAACAGCAGCACCTGTCAAAACAAACACTTGGGTCTCTGTCAGACAGTTTCTTTAGGTTGTTGCCATTCTACTTTTGAGTGTACATAAATATTTTTATTGCATTAAAAACATGATCATATCTTATTTTTTAAATATAGCAGCATGCAAGCTGCTTCTGACTTAAGAAATACTCATGATCAGACCTCCTTAAAAATGCCTGAGACCTTCAGTCCCTTTGGGACTTTATGTCAAATGAAACTGAATAGATTCACATTTCTTCAGCAAAAGATGAATCCCCCGTTTCTCTGGCTTTTAAATTTGGGTCTGTCTCTTTCAAGAGCACACAAAACATATTCAAGGAGCTTTGTTTTGCTCTCAGGATAATGGATTTAGATACAACACTTCTCAGGCAATAAGCAAACAAGGTAGGGATTGCCCTTTTGCAGTCTGGGATATAAAACTGAGCTGACAGACAGTGAACAACAAGGCATCACAGTCTGATGGAGCTCCTCAGCTCACACACACACAGAGTTAATATTAAACACAACTTGGAGTCCGTGTCAGAGGCACTAACAAACGCCCTGGAGAGCTGCTGCCACCCCTGAGGCAGCCCCTCCCTGCGGGGAGTCCCAGCAGTGGGACCAGCACTGACAGCCCCGGGCTCTGCTCCTCAGCTCCAGACTGCCCCTTCCAGCACCTGAATGGGAGCAAATGTGGACACCTGAGCTCCACCCCCACTTCTCAGCCAGTGCCATTTGCCCTTGGACATCAGAAGGAATTTCTTCACCCCACGGGCTGTCAAGGTTGGAAGGGGCTCCCTGGGACGTGGTGGAATCAGCAGCCCTGAGCAGTTCAAGGAGAGACTGGACGTGTCAGTGCTCTGGCCTGGCTGACAAGGGGTGTGAGTCAGAGGCTGGGCTCGATGATCTCACAGGTTTCTTCCAGCCTCAGTGACTGTGTGATCTCCAAAAAGACTGACCACGTGGGAGATGGGCTGCTCCTACCTGGGGATGTGGCCAGCATGCTGCCCATGTGCTGTGCCATTGGTTGCCATAACTGACCTTTCCATACAGGTGTGTGCTTTTCACGCTCACAACTTCGAATGGCCGGGAAAATTTCGTGCTACAGAACGCATAACACAGATCCCTGTGCCAGGCTGCTCCACCTGCAGAGGCCTTCTCCGATCCAAAGGAAACGCACAACAAGAATGTAGCTGTTACTTGTTATTTTAACATCTGTTATTTGTTATTCTAAATTTGTTACATGTTGCAATGGGTGAAAATGTAACCAACAGATGAGGAAAGGGTGTTACAACAAAGATGTGAAACATTACTGATACAGAAATTGGCTAAACTGGTTCTCCCTGCTTCAGTTATTTCTGTACAAGTCTATATGTACGTACATGCTGATCCCAATTTATTTTTAATCTAACCCAAAAAAGTGTCCGTGAATGGAGCTGTTCTGAATTTGGAAAAGTAACTGAGAGAGTCTAATTCCCAGTCTTGCATGTACCTGATAATTCCCTGACACCTAAAATCGGCTAAACACACTCAGGATATCCAAGCTTGGCTCTGGCATCTCTGTTTAGTCAATTACCAGACTTCCACTAGCACAGAAACGGACTCGTTGCTGCATCCCCCCGACACCTTCCCGCTCCCGTGTGGTGTTCACAGTTCCCATGGCACCGGCAAGCGGGAGCAGCACCGGGAGCCCCGTGCGGAACGGCACTCGGGTGCGATGCTGCTCAGAGCGCACCTGGAGCACTGGGCAGGCAGAGCCCTCGCCGCGGCCGGCAGGAGCAGCCGGGACACGGGACTGGGATGGAGAGACGGTACCGGCCGGAGCCCCCAGGGCACGGGACTGGGATGGAGAGACGGTACCGGCCGGAGTCCCCAGGGCAGCCGGGTGCCTCCCGCTGCCGCGGAGTGCGGGCACGCCCAGGGCATCCCGGGGGGCCCGCCGGACCGTGCCGGTGCCCGCCGCTCCCGCCGCACTCACCTGTGCCCCGCCGCCCATCGCGGCCGGACCCGCTCCGTCTGCCCCGCCGCCGGGAGAGCCGCGGGAGCGGCCCCGCCCGCGCGCCCCGGGAGCCCCGGTGCCCGAGCCGCGTCCCGGGCGGGCTGGCAGCCGCTGCCGCCGGTCACGGCATCCCGCGGGGCCCGGCGAGGGACTGGCAGCGCGGGCAGCCGCGGCACCACCGCCCCCGCCCCGCACTTACCGGCGCCGCCGCCGCGGGGCCGCGCAGCCGCTTCCGGGTCCGGGTCCGGCGGAACGGGCGCCCGCGGGACCCGGAAGCGCCGCGGCCGCGGAAATGACGGCGCGGAACGGGCGGGGCGGTGGCACCGGCGGTACCGGCGGCGCGGGCCGCACGCGGGCACGGCAGCGGGCCGCGGGCTCGGCGGGCGCAGCCGCCCTGCCCGGGATGCCCCGCGCCGGTACCGGGACACCGCGGCCGAGCGGCGCTCCCCGGTGCCGCACGGCAGCACACAGGACGCTTTTCTCACGGGGGTCGCACTGGCTTTATTGCCAGTGTGTTGCTAAAAGCACGGTGACGTTTGTGTTTATTTGGTGATTTGAGGCCAAGCACGCAAGTACAGACACCAAGGGGATGAACCCCACACGGGTCAGTGTGCCCGGACCGGCACCGAGCGCCGCCCGGGCCGTCAGCAGTGTCCCCGGTTACCCGCTGCTCCGGGGCTGAGCAGGGCGCACAGCCGAGCTGCCGGTGCTCCCAGCTGTTCCCAGGGAGCCTGTTCCTGGCCTGCTGGCTCTGTGTCCCTGTCACCTCTCCAGACCTGCTGGTGCAGCCTCCGCAGTTTCCTGTGCAAGCAAGGAGACTTGTTCATCCCTGAGGAAAGCCTAACGTGGCAGCCTCAGCAGCTTCACGAACGCAAACCAGCTGCCTTTGAGAGGGACAGTGCACAGCATGGCACAAGTGCCACCAAGGCCCGGGAGGAGCAGGTACCAGTGACTGGCAACAGCACAGTGAGGGCAGGAGCTGGAAGCTGCCCCAGCACAGGGTATGTCACAGGAGTGCCTGGCTGCAGCTGGCAGAGCCCAGAGCTCTGGGGTGACTGGACTCAGCCTCCTGAAACAGTACCAAAATCACCCAGAAGAGCAGCTTTCCGCTGATGCAGTGAGACTGAGCAGGTCCCTGCAGGGGCCAGGGAGCCCTGTCCCGTTTGGCAGGGTCAGGGGCTAGGGGAATCTGCCCATTCCATCCGTGGCACTTCACCCTCAGGGGGCAAGTGCATCTGTGAAATATTCACAAAAATACCGATTTAAAATGCCTTTGGGGTAGTGTTCTTAGTAAAATTGGATGACCCTGAAAACTCGTTGGCTCAAGACAGACAATGATGGAGTAGTTAAGATGTAAAGTAATTGAAATGTGAATGAATTTACTAATTGTATGGGGGGACGGTGAGCGCACAGATTTGTTGACCAGGAGCCACCTCCATCTGCACCAGCCATCCGAGGGCCCAGCCAGGTAAAGGGCTCCGGTGACATCCAGGCCCAAGTGAAGGTGAGGGATGGCGCTGCCAGCTGGGACTGGGGCGAGCTGGCAGCTCTGCTCTGATGCCAGCCTGAGGCATCAGCCAGACCACCAGGAAGGTCAGGGGATGAGGGCTGGGTGCGGGCATGGCTCCACTGAGACTGTCTGCCACAGACAGAGCACAAAAAGCAAACTAAGGATGGTTTTAACCGTGGCTCTACCCGAAGTGTGACAAAATGGCCCAACCTGAGGGAAGCAGGAGCGAACGGGGCAGTGTCCCACGTGAGGACAGTCTGAGGAGGTGGCAACGATCTACATGTAACATCCTAAGGGAATGAAGTGGTAATTACCCTTGCTGCCTGTGCCTTTTCCTCCTCCCGCTTCCGCGGTTCTGTGCACATTTACAAAAAGATAATTTGCAATTGCACGCGGTAACGCAGGCCCTGAGCCGAGGGCTGTGCCGAGGGCTCCTGTCCTGTCCCGCAGCTCTCCGCGGGGACACGCTCAGGGCACGGGCCGCGACAGACCGGCCCGGGACCCTTCATCCTGCGCAGGGCTCCATCGCACGGCCGCCGCTGCCGGTGCCGGGCAGGCCCGGCCGGGCCCGGGCGCTCGGGAGGCCCCGGGCCCGGCCCGGCGGGACCGGCCCGCCGTCACCACGGCAACGGGGGCGGGGCCCGGGCCGCTCGCCCCGCCCACGCCGCCGTTCGAACGGCCCAATCACAAGTTCCTCATCCCGGGGCGGGGCCCGAGCTGGGGCGGGCGGGCGCGGCACCACCGTGCGGGCGCTGATTGGCCAAGGCCGCAGCCAGCCCCCGCGGCCTCGCGCGGCGATTGGCCGCCGTGCCCGTCGCTCTGGCGCTCGGCCGGCCCCCCCGCCCGCCCCGGAGCGCGGGCGCCGCCGGGCCCGGCGGGAGGGCCGCGCGCGCGGAGCGGGGCGGGCGGGCCGGCGGGGCGGGCCGGGGCGGGCCGGCGGGGCGGGGCCGGCGGGCGGGGCGGGGCCGGCGCTCCGCTCCCTCTCGCGCGCCGCTCGGCTCCTTCACAGGGTGACACGTCTGCGGTGAGTGAGTGGCGTTGGCAGCCTGTCAATCCCTCACCGGAGCGGCCATCAAACAACATAAAACACGCGCGGGCACCGGGCGCGGGGCTCATAAATTCCGGCGGGCCGATATTTTTGCACATTGCTTTGCAGAGAGTGTGTAATTAATTTTTTTACAGTTCTTTCCCCGTTATTTCCGCTCTTTTCTTTGCACAAGTTCAAACTTTTGATTGCTGCTGTCTCACCCCCGTGCACAGACTTGGGATCGTTTGTTATTTGGGGGGGAGGGCGATTAATTTTTTTTTTTTTCCCTCTGTGATTGTGTTTTCTTGGCTTTTTTTATGTTGCAATTTGGGGGTGGGGGTGTTCGCTGGTTTGTTGTGGTTTTTGCTGTTTGCACCCTCCCAACTTCTGAAGGATTTGAAAGCGAGTTTTTTTGATTTTGTACTTAATTTTTTTTTTTAATTTTGCCTTTTTGCAAAGAAGATTTTTGGACAAGTGGGGAAAGACATAAAAAGCAACAATAAAAATAAAAAAGGAAAAAAAAAAGCTTTGGAGGAAGATTGTACCAGGAAAATCTCACAGAAATCTGCTCAGCTCATTTATCCGAGGCACCAATATGATGATGATGAAAGAAGATTGTAACTAAAGAAGAGAGTGATTTACTGCCCTGGGAAGGAGAAGAGAGTGGAATAAACAGCTGAGATCCGGTCAAAACACAAATACTACATTTTTTTTGTTACTGTTTTGTTTGGCTTTTTTTTCCTGTTTCCCTTTTTTCGTGGTGTGTGTGCAGAGCGCGGTCAGGAGCGCGGCACTGGGACTGAGCGGGGCAGGCGCTGCCGTGACCGCCCGGAGCGCGGCCCGGCCCGGAGCCATGGACGATCAGTCCAGGATGCTGCAGACTCTGGCCGGCGTGAACCTGGCCGGGCACTCGGTGCAGGGGGGCATGGCCCTGCCGCCTCCCCACGGACACGAAGGGGCTGACGGCGACGGCAGGAAGCAGGACATCGGCGACATCCTCCATCAGATCATGACCATCACTGACCAAAGCCTGGATGAGGCACAAGCAAAGTTGGTTTCGTCTAATTAAACCTTGTCTTTTAAAAAAATTATTATTAATATTATTATTTTTTTAATTATTTTTGGTGTGTGTGTGTGGTTTTTGTTTCTCTCCTTCCTGTTCCTCTGCAGAGACCCGGAGTCTCACAATTAAGAGCAACTTCTTGGGGCCGTAAGAGAAATTACCAGCAGCCAAGGCAGAGCCAAGTTGCTATTTAATGATTTCTTTCCTTAAAAAAAAAAAAGCTATGATAAATGTAGAAGTATGCGATGGCTCTGCCGTCGGTGTGGTGCGCGGGAGGCTGTGGCTGGTCCCTGCCCGTTCCCGCTGGACGCTGCCCGGTGGATACCGGCCTTTGCGCCGCCGTCCATCCGTCTGTCCGTCCGGCCATCCCTCAAAGTACAACTTTGCCTCTTTCTTTCTTTTCTTGTCTCAGAGCGGCAGCAGATGAATTATAAATCTGACCAGATACTGCTGCAGGAGAGGGTGTGTGTGTGTGAATAAAGCCCGAACCAAACCCCGGCTCTATTCAATCACAATAAATACAAAAACAATGTTAACTCTGTACACCTCCCCCCCCCTCTCCCCAATCTCCTTAATAAATCAGGTCTAATATCGCAGGACGGGGACGAGGGGGGTGGTTTTCCCCCTCGTTCGGGCGGTGTTTGCACAAAGATAATTCGCACGAAGCGAAGCGGGCTGAGGGAGGTTCCGGCCGGCCCTCGCCGCCCGCGGCCCCGGGACCCCCGGCCGGGGGGCGAGCGGCCCGGGGAAGGCGCCATGTTGCCGGAGCCCGGCGCTAACCGCTTGTCCTGTGCTCTCTTGCAGGAAACACGCCCTGAACTGCCACAGGATGAAACCCGCCCTGTTCAGCGTCCTCTGCGAGATCAAGGAGAAAACAGGTACGGGCCGCCGCGCCGCCGCCGCAGCCATCTTAGCGCCGCCGCCGCGCCGGGCCCGGGCCGCTCTCGCCGCCGGGGCGGGGGCCGGGGGCGCCCGGCGGCCCGGGGGGCGGCGGCAGCGCCGCGAAATGGCGCGGGGGGCCCGCTGCCGGCCCCGCCGAGCCGTCCGGCGGCGTGTGAAGGACGGCCCGCGGCGGTGTGCCCGCGGGTTTAACCCCGGCACCGCACCGGGAGCTCCGCGAGGGGCGGCAGCGCCGAGCCGAGCCCCCGCGGCCCCGCCGAGGGCGCCCCGACCCCGCTCCCGAGCCCGGCGCTGCGCCGGCGCCTCCCGGCGCAGGGCTTTTAAACGCCAAAATTCTCAAAAATCTCCAAAGTCCGGTATTTTTTTTTTTTTTTTCGTCTACATTAACGCGACAGAAATAAACTCCGTGCTTTTCTTGTGGGTGATCTAGGAGATTTTTTTTGCAATTTTTTCACATCACTGAATTTATAGAATTTTTTGTTTGTTTAAAGAAGAAAATTTACAAAGTATTCTGCTTTGTATTACGAGAACAAGAACATTTAATGAAAATAATAATAATGAGAATAATAAAATTTAACAATAGTAACGTTTAACAATAAGAAAAACATTTATTATGACTGGATTTAAAAATGAATAGCCAATTATTCACATATAGCTTAAGCCATTGCCTGGCTTTTTAGCTCTATGTGATACTCAATAACGTTCTGCTTAATTCCACACTGAAAAAATAAAACTGGATGAAAACAACCCAACGTGAAATCATTGCAAATCTGAGCTGTGGAGCCTGGAGTGAGCGGTTCTCTGTGAATTATGGTGCTTTATGTCCAAGGGTTTCTTTGCTACCGGGGATCCACTTCAGTTCCTGCTGACAGCTAAGCACTAGGGTATTGACTGTGTTGTGAATATTAAGATTGATTCTGCTTTATGTTGCATTATATTACCCGGGATAAGGGGAATGATCCCTCTCCCTTCCCACCTATATACGTTCCTCCTCGGTCGGCTCGTAACCCCTTTCCTTGGCTTGTGTGTTTGTTTCCTGCCTTTCCCTAAACTTCTTTGCCCGTCCTGCTCCGGAGCCAGAGAGCAACCTGCCCTCGGTGTTCAGACATTTGCAGGAGCACATTTCAATTAAGGAGGCAGGCGTAGGTCCCGCGGTCACTTTATTTGCAGAGGGCTTAGCCTCAGTGTTTTGAAAGGCAAGCGTAGTCAGGCACATGTCAGAGGTGAGCTGCGAAGAAAGCCCCAGTCCTTTCAGCAGTGGGATTACTGGCACAGGGTGTTTGTGAGGCCGCCGCCGTCTCGCAGGCGAGGGGGAACCTGACGACAGACTCTGTGGTCTGAAACCTTTTGGGGTGTTTCAGTGATAACTTGTACGTTGGGATGCTGCATTTGTGCTGCAAGAAGTCGAGCAAGTTTTCAAGTTATCCCTCTTTTGTGAGATCGCTGAGAACCAACAAAGAGTGAAGGCGTCTGCCTGCCCAAAGGCGAGCTCCTGCCAGCCCTGGCATCACGGGAGGGACGCGATTAATGCTCTGAGTGATTGATGGAGATGGATCCACACCTCCACCAAAAACTCTTCCCGGAAGGGGACCTTCACTCAGGGTCTCCCAGTTGAAGTGAAATGTCTGTGCAGGCTTTACTTAGTGTGCTAAAGCAAAGAAAACGTGAAAATAAATTGTAGCCTGTTTTCTGGAAGCTGTTCTCGGAGGGAACGGCTCAGTTCTAAACTGGAAGCTTGAGGAAAGGTCTGAGATGCAGTTAAGGCAGAGGTGTCCCCCTCTCTGCCTAGGGCTCTGCATTGTCTTGTGGTCTGACAACTGTCAGGTGCTTAAACCTATCTCCGATGGGGTCGTGTGCTGGCGTTTAATTCTTCCTGATCAGAACCAAAGTTTTCCTGGGTGTGGGAATTGCCATGGTGGTTTCATCACTGTCTTCCTCCATGGAAGGATGTCATGTCTGTTCAGAAACAAGTCATGCGGTATTTAAGTAATTTTTATATTGAATTATGTATTTATTTGCATTTTAGTAGTTTTCAGTACAGTCAGCAAGGACTTTGTGAGACTGGCTGGGAGAGAGCATGAGAAGGAATCCTCAGTTTGCATGGAGCCACTCTGTCACTTCCCAGCAAGGGTTAATGGATACATCTCATTTCTGAAAGCCTCACACAGGGTCAGGAGCTGAAGATTTTTATTTTTTCTCCCTGTGAGGTATTTACCATGTACAAAGCAAATCACTGAGTTACTGAATTTAGCCTGACATTTCTTTTTTAACATTTTAACATTTTCAAAAGTGCTGCATAATACATTTAAGTGCTTTGCAACTATTAATAGCTGTGTGTATTCTGAGAGGCAACCACAAGGTAGCATGGTGTTCATAAAGAAACTGCCACCTCTGGCTTTAATTAGTTCAAAGAAAAATTATAGCAGAGTTCTACCGAAGCCCCTCCAATAAAATAGGAAGATAAGCAAGTGAGGAGGCAGTGGCTCCCTTTGGCTGTGCTTTGCCTGCTCTCCGAGGTGTCACTGGACGCACACTCACATCTGTTGCATACCTGTGTCACACTCTGTTTCCTCACATCCTACCAGAAGGAATCAAAAACTGATTTGCACCATTGTTTGTTTTTTTTTTTTTTAAATAGCTCTTTTTTACTGACTGAAACACCTTCAGACTGGTGATTTTATTAAGCTTCCTCCAGGATGTTGCTCAACCTGGGGTCCTGGTTATTCTTATGGAGAAAGAAGTGAAAATATATTAATTCTTGCAGTCTTAAAATGTCTTAGGGAATTGCATTTATTTCCCAATGGAGAAACATATTATTAGGTCCTGGACTGTGCTGATAGATAATTTGTTTTTTTGTCTTTAAAAGTCATTTACAGAGACAGGATCACAGGTTTATAAAAATGTCTGAATTCATGTGCATAACTGTGCACACATCTATAGTTATTTATTTATTTATTTATTTCCCCAAGTCCAGCAGCAACAATGATAGCTGCCAACCAACCCCGAATTTACTGTCACCACCACCCCTAAACAGCATTCATTTCCTAGTAAAGCCTAATGGCATACATGATGGTTTGCCAGATTTGTGGCCTTTGTGAGGCTTATAAGCAGGACTGACTTGGGAAGATCATAAAACTTAATGAACTTCTCGACTGCAGGAGGTGTCCGCAGGGGAAGCAAAAGGCCTGCTCGGCTGCTTGGGCTGCTGCAACTATTTTTTATGTCTAAAGAGAGAGGATGAAAATGTTCATTAAGAACGTTCTCCCCTTGCATAGATTTTTGTTTTAAAGAATGAATAAAAAATCTCTGAAAAGCAGACAGACCGCGTGTTGGCCGCGGGGTTAACTCCTGGCTGTTGCCGTGTGAGTTACCTTTATTTTTATCGCCGCAGCTGTAAATAGCCGTGCGCTGCCGTCCCTGTGATGACAGGGCTGCAGCGGGCCCTGCCTGGCTGCACAGCTCCTTATTGATGAGCTGGCCGCTGCTCAGGACCGCCCCTTGTCGATGTGCTGCAGCCTGGAACCGCGGCCAGGGCACTGCTGGGCAGCGCTGCCCCTGCCCGGCCCTGGCAGAGCTGAGGTGTTAGCCCCTGCCGGCGCCGTGGGGCTGGGAAAGCCACCCTGCCCTGCCCTGCACGAATTCCAACTTCCCTGCGCTTGTAAACTCGCGTTTAGCGCCAACAACTCTCAGAAACACGCTATAACCCTCCATCCTGCCGGAGCACCAGAGGATTCTGATGGAACAATGACATGGCACTGATAGCATACGTGTATGTGCCTGTGTGTGAGAGTGTGCGTGTGTATTTTGGCTATTTTCTAAATATCAGCTGTGATGTTATTGTTACTTACTTTAGCTCTTTAAAATATTTATGTGCAGTCCTGATTTTTTTTTTTTTTTGAAGCTGCTAAATACATATTTTGTTGTTCCCTGACTACCTGAAGAAGTCAGAGCTGGGCGTTTATGTGCATCCAGCTCAGCTTAAATTGTTTGGCTTTTGCTTCCATCTCATGCTTCAGTACCAAGGTTTGTCATCGACCCAGTGATTGTACTTTTGAATGTATTTTTTTAATTGCCAGCAGATGTATTACAAATGATGCCGTGCAGCAGAACGTTTGGTCGTTTGCACTGTCCTTATGGCAATGACATTGCTTTTCTTCATAAATGTCCTACTAGGAAAAAATAAATTGAATAAAGTGTCTTGATTATCGTTTGGTCATCTGTTTCCAACACATTCATTATCAGCAGCCTGGTTCTTTGGTGGATTTCTATACCAGGGCACTTCTCTAGTTGAGAAAATGGCGATTTGGTGATTATGGGCATTAGAGAAATTAATGGTATTTTATCTCACAGAACCTGAGACTGCACCTTACCTTCAGTGCTTCCCATTGCTGGTGCTCCTTGCTGCATTTAAATATCCATCTTCACCTTGAGTAGTGGGATTAGTGGTTTCAGAGATTTTTTTTTCCCCTCTGTGGAGGATAAATTTGGCCCTGCTTGTCAATACTAATTTAGCCAGGAGCAGGGATTTATTTTATTTATTTTATTTTATAGCTGTCTTTCATGTGTTTCCATTTATTTTTGAATTTGACACATTTTCTTGCTTATCTAAAATACGAAATTCTAGCAGTTACCGTGTGGTGTATTTTAGGACAATTGTTGTAAGTTAAGGAATTTTTGCATTCGGAGATAAATTATCATGGCATGTAGGGAATGCAAAACAGTTGTGTTTTTTTTTTTTTTTTACAGGATTTAACACATTTATCAAACTCTGTTCCTGCAGCTTTCAATGGAAAAGTTGTACGATATGGATATTATGCTGTCTTTTTTCAATTTAAACATTGATTTGTGTGAAACATTAATATAATGATATTTGCAGTCTACCGTAGACAAATATAAGCAGAATTAGACACTCTAAATTGTTACAAATGCAGTGCAATATTTAGAGGTGAATGGAGGCTGTATTCGTAATGACGGAGCGGAGCGCGTGGCGGTCCGGTCGGGCTGTGCCCGCGGGTTTCGGGCTGTTCG